TCGCCTCCTTCGCCTCCTTCGCCTCCTCTGCGCCTCTGCCTCTGCCTCTGCCTCTGCCTCTGCCTCTGCCTCTGCCTCTGCCTCTGCCTCTGCCTCTGCCTCTGCCTCTGCCTCTGCCTCCTCCTCCTCCTCCTCCTCCTCCTCCTCCTCCTCCTCCTCCTCCCCCTGATCTTCCTCGTCCTCGCCCTCCTCCTCCTCCTCCCCCTCCTCTTCCTCGTCCTCGCCCTCCTCCTCCTCCTCCTCCTCCTGCTCCTCCTCCTCCTCCTCCTCCTCCTCCTCCTCCCTTCTCCTCCTACCTCCTCCTCCTCCTCATCCTCCTCCGCCTCCTCCCCCTCCTCACCCTCCTCCCCCTCCTCCCCTCCCTCCCCCTCCTCCGTCCTCCTCCCTCCCCTCTTTCCTCCTCCTCCTCCTCCTCCTCCTCCTCCTCCTCCTCCTCCTCCTCTTCCCTCCTCCTCCCCCCCGCATTCCTCGTCCTCGTCTCCTCCTCCTCCTCCCCCTCCTCTTCCCTCCTCCTCCTCCCTCTCCTCCTCCTCCTCCTCCTCCTCCTCCTCCTCCTCCTCCTCCTCCTCCTCCTCCTCCTTCTCCTCCTCGGAAGAACTGGAGCGAAGCTGAATCGGCAGGAGCTCGACAGAGGTCGGCTGACACATCCAATCGGCAGGAGTTGGACCCGGCGAACTCGAGATCGGAATCGCGAGCGGGAATCTCCGAATCGAATCGGTCCGAGCGTCGAGGACCGTCTGGAGCATCTCACGGCGTCTGGGGAGCAGTTTTTGGGGTGCCTTTCTAGGCCTCCTGGGGCGTCCTGGGGCCTCCTGGGGACTTTTTGGGGCCTCTTCGGGGTCTCTTGGAAGCCGCTGGGGGCCTCTTGGGGGCCTCCAGGGGCGGAGGGCTAGAAATGTTGTTTGGTGTTCTGCCTCGGAGTTCTCTCTCGAGGGGTTCTGGGGGCGCTCTTGAACTTCCTTGGAAGCCTCTCGGGCCGTCTCGGGGGCCTCTTGGGTCGTCTCGGCGTCTTCTCGGGGGCCTGTTGGGGCGATGTGTGGGTGTCCAGGACCGTCTTGGAGCGTCGGGAATCTGAACAAGCAGAAACACGAATATCTTTGAGGAACCAACGTCAACTCAATGATGTTCGCTTCTTGAGGTCCTTGTGGGAGTGCTCTTGGGGTCCCCTTGGGCCGTGTTGGATGCCTTGTGGGCCATCTGGAGGCCATCTTGGGCGTGTTCGAACGATATGTCCGAGTTTCGGGGCCTCTTGGGGGCCTCTTGCGGCCCTTTTCAGGAATGTTGGTGCTTTCTTGGGCCGTCTGGGGGCGGTTTCGGCCGTCTCGGCGCCCCGGTGGAAACCTGTTTGGACGATTTTCGGGTATCCGGGACCGTCTTGGAGCGTCGGGAAGACGAATAAGCAGAATGGCTAAAATGCACCAAAAACCTTAGGAAAATCAGCGATCGTGGTAAATCAATGATTTTGGCGTCTTGGGGTCTTTTTGGGAGTGCTCGTGGGGGCCCCTTGGGCCGTGTTGGAAGCCTGTTGGGCCATCCGGAGGCTATCTTGGGCGTGTTGGAACGATACTTCCGCGATTGCTAGGCCTCTTGGGGGCCTCTCGCGGCCCTTTTCATCTGTGCTGTGGCTGTCTTTGGCCGTCTGGGGGCGTCCCTGGCGGCCTGGTCCTCCCATGGCATGTCGGGGGCCCCCTCCTTGGCCCCCCCGCCTCGAGCGCAGGGATATACATACATATATATATATATATATATACACATGCATACTATATATATATATATATATATATTATATATATATATATATATTCACATATGTGTATATACATGAATATACATATATAATATATATATATACATATATACACATTTATAGAATTTTAGTTTTATATATATATATATATATACATGCATATATATATATATACAAGCACAAGTGAAGGCACGCGTGTTCCACGAGCTGTGCTTGCCCTTAGGGGTCCTTCTTACGCCGGTTGCCGCATGCCTCCATCGACCCGTTGCGAGGTCTCGCCCGGTGGCCGGCGTCGCCGGGCGCCCCGTGGGCGCCCCGTGCGCCGAGCGTGTGCGGCGAGGTCTCGCCTGGTGGGCATACCGTGGCCGCCTGCGTGGGCACCGGAGGTAATCCACACAGCTGAAGGGGCCCCAGGACACACAAATAAATACACACAAATAAAAAGATTCCCCATCTTTTCCCATATTTTCTGGGTTTCTGTCTTCCCCCCCACTTTCCATACTTTCCCATATTTTCCGGGGAATCGAAGATCAATTGTGTCTGTGTGTTTCTTTTCCTCCTGAACAGCTTGCACGACGCAGCTCGCGCCTCAGAGCTCACACCATAGACTAAAGCGACGCGAAGATCGGGACAAAATCGGATCGGGATAACTCGGAATCTCTGAGAATCGGCGGGTTTGGAGGATGTATTGGGCGCCGCGGCCGCTCCAGAGCGTTCCGGAACGCTCTGAGAGCGTTCTGGAACGCTCTGGAGCGATTTATCCCGATCCTAGCCCTGTTCTATAGACACCGCATAACAGGGACTGCGCCTCCTCGCCTACCTCACCCGGCTTACGCCGCAGAGCTCGCACGAGGCAGCCCGTGCAGCATCGTCGGCACAACAGAGCTTGCACCGCACTGCCGCAGCCACGGAGCAACAAAACACAGCTCACACCACATGGAGTGAATAAGAAAAATGGCACCGAGCAGTTTACACATCCACAGAGCACAATGGGTCCACAGGCAAACGCACACTGCATCAAACTACATATATGTTCTGACCTGGGAAGGTTGGCGAACCTAAGACGAAACTTGTGGTGCGTCCGCCCCCCCATAATGTTTGAGACAATATTGCTTCCGTAGGGGGGGGGGCACGAGGACAAGCAATGATTGGGAGCCCTAGCCTCGCCTCCACAGTAAGACAACGTAAGAAAGGATCGACTGAATCAGGCGAGCTGTCGCTCGGTATATCGTAGATAACAGCCCCAACTCTTGGCGGCATGGCGGCAAGGCCGAACGACATGCAGTTCTGGCCTCGCAGGAACATCAGCGCATATCACTGGCGGCAAACTCAAGAAGAAAGGACGATATGTTTGAAGTACTGCTGGTACTATGACAAAAGATATAAACAAACTATGCAGAATACAAGCTCCAGCAAGTGACCCGGCCGCGCGCCCTGAGGGCCTCGCGTAAACTGGCCTGAACACCAAGCAAACATATTCGTATCGTGCACATGCAACCTCCGAGTAGTCCGTGCCAAGCCCGACTTGGCCTGGAAGTGTGGCGTGGAGAAGGTGAGTATGCCACGGTGATGGAGGATCTACTGGAGACGAATTCACAGCGCCAATCGCTCTCTCTCTCTCTCTCTCTCCCTCCCCGTGCGCACGTACGCATGTCAGCATCGCTCTCCGCCTCTCCATCCCTCTCTGCCCCTCTCTCCCTCTCTCCATCTCTCTCTCTCTCTCTTTGTCTCTCTCTCTCTCTCTTTCTCCATTTTTTGTTTCTCTCTCTCTTTCTCTCTCTCTCTCTCTCTCTCTCTCTCCCTGTACCTCTCTCTGCCTCCCTCTCTCCCTGTACCTCTCTCTCTCTGTACCTCCCTCTGCCTCCCTCTCTCCCTCCGCCGCCCTCAGACATCCGTGGGAGCACCACGTGGGCCCGATCTCGCCCCCCACTGGCCCGCTGAGGGGCCGCGGCGTGGCAGCCGCGCCGCCGCCGGTGCAGGGAGGCCGCGCGGCTCTCCGCAGGTTGGTCGAGCTAGCCGCGGCGGCGGGTGGCCTCTGGACTCCCCTACGCCGTCGGGGCGGCCGGGCTCTCCTTTGAGGGGCCCGTGGCCCACCACCACCACCCATCAGTTCGAGGGGAAGGGGGGTCTTCCTCCTCCTCCTCCTCCCTTCCTCCTCCTCCTCCTCCTCCTCCTCCTCCTCGTCCTCCTCCTCGTCCTCCTCCTCCTCCTGCTCCTCCTCCTCCTCCTCCTCTTCGTCCTCCTCTCCTCCTCCTCGTCCTCTCCTCCTCCTCCTCCTCCTCGTCCTCCTCCTCCTCCTCCTCGTCCTCCTCCTCCTCCTCCTCCCCTCCTCCTCCTCCTCCTCCTCCCCCCTCCTCCCCCCTCCCCCTCCTCCCCCTCCAACTCGTGGTGGTGGTGGCGGAGCACGGGCCCACCATTCCTGATCCGCCCGCTTGCGCTTGTAGTCCTCGATGGCATCGACGACGGGCAAGAGCTTGAGGAGCCGGGCGCCGTCCTCCGAGCTCCCCAGAAACTTGGACCGGAGGGAACTCTCCTCCTCTCCTCTCCCCTCCTCTCCTCTCTCCTCTCCTCTCTCCTCTCTTCTCCTCTCCTCTCCTCTTCTCTCCTCTCCTCTTCACTCGTCACCTCTCCTCTTCTCTCGTCACCTCTCCTCTTCTCTCCTCTCCGCTCCTCTCCTCTCCGTCCCCCTCCTCCGTCCTCCGTGCTCCCCAGGAACTTGGCCCGGAAGGCCAGGGCCTCGTCGGCGTTCGGGCAGGTCTCCAGCACGTGGGTGACGATCGCCGCGTTGCTGGAGGACCAGCTCAAGATCTGAAGGACGTTCAATCGCTGGGGACCCCACGGCCTGTTGACCTCCAGCCCGTGCTTCATGTAGAGCTCAAAAGTGGGAGAGGTGCCCGATTCCAAGAACCAGTAGTCGAATGTGAGATTGTAGCCTACCTTGGGGAGCCACGTGCTGCCCCCAGATCCCATGAAGAAGGCAGCATTCCCGTCCATTCCCAGCTCGAACGCAAGACGGAGGATGTCTTTGTTGTACGCTGCGTACATATACCACGCATGGATAGCATCGGCACCTGGGCTCCAGCACATGTAGTTCTGTCTTGTGTTGTAGTTCTGGAGAAGGCCTGGCTTGTGCTGCAGCGAAGTGAGCTTACTGGACCACCTGAAAAAGTCACCTCCATGCTCCACGAGAAGCCTGACGCACTCCACATTGTTGGATCGAACGCCCTGGATCAGCGGAGCCATGTCCAAATTGTTTGGCGAGTTGGCATCGGCACGAATCTCGAGAAGGAACTTGATCTTGTCTACATATCCTGCCTGAGCCGGTCCAGCCAAAATGCTGTTCCCCTGACCCGTCAGATTCCAAAACGGTCGCTTCATGGTCACCCCAACCTTGGCATGGATGTCGGCAGAGGCGTTGATGAGCAGCTTCATGCACTCCAAACCTTTCTCGCCGTTGTCCATGTCTGCAGCCATCGAGAGTGCAGTACAATTCTCCGCACTCTTGGCGTTCACCGAAGCCTGGTGCATGATGAGGGCGTTCACGAGTTCAACCCTGCCGCATGACGCAGCAAGCATCAGAGGAGTTAGGCCTGATGCAGGATCTGCGAAATTCACGTCGACATCATCAGTAATGCTCAGGGTCTCATCCCAGGCCTGTCAGGCGGCGCGCCCGGGGGGGGAATAAGAAGCGGCGGACCTTCTCAGAAGGCTCGGACATCCCCGAGCCTTCTGAAAAGGTTTCCAAGGTTTTCCCCAAAGAAGCAACATGCTTCTCAGAAGGCGCGAGGGCTTCTGAGAAGTCACACCGCCTTCTGAGAACGCCTCTCCTTCTCACTCCCCCCCTCGCTCGCCGCTGGCCTGTTGCAGAGTGCCATATGGTTTGAAGCTGGCCAGCTGGTCCAAGGCGTTGTTCATGTCCCACGCCTTCACGAAGTCGGGACTCTCGCGCCCGGAACTCCAGCGCCACCACGTGGCGTGAACCAGCCAGTTCATGAAGTCATAGTCGTTCCTATTGGCGGCGAGCGAGTGGGGGAAATGGGAAGGAGAAGGCCCTCTCAGAAGCGAAGGGGCCTTCTCAAACGCCCTCGCGCCCTCTGGGAAGTTGTCTCTGTCTTCTGGGAAGGCTCAGGAAACTTCTCGGAAGCCCGGGGGGCATCCGAGCCTTCTGAGAAGGCTTTCTCCTTCTCGTTGCCCCTCCTCCTCCTCCTCCTCCTCCTCCTCCTCCTCCTCCTGCTCCTCCTCCCCCGCGCTCGCCGCCGATCCTGTGCTCGCGTATGACGCGAACGGCATCCCACTTCTTCCCCATGCTGGCGAGCGCAAAGAGAAAGTGCCCGTCATCACAGACCAGGCACGGATGGACGCCCTTGTTTGGACGCCCGAAATGGGCACTAAAAGAATGGGTACAATGCCCAACAACAAATTAAATGTTGTGCCGAACCAACAGCGGCCGCTGTTGGGCAGGCGGCCTTCTGTCTCAGATGGACACAGGCCGCGGCGGCGCGGACAGCGAGCCCTGTTCAAAATGAACAGGAACTGCTATTGGGCATCGTACCCATTCTTTCCGTACCCATTTCGGGCGTCCAGACCTTGGATAGCAGCGTGTCGAGCACGACGAGGTTTGGCAGACTGGCCGCATGCCTCAGCACTGCGCCGACGCCATTCAAACGCCAACAATTACTGTCAACAAGGGTGGGGACCATGACCCGTGCAAGGAAGTTGGAACCATGGAACCACCTCTTGTTGCAGTCCCTGTTGTCCCAGACGACGTCTGTCTCGTACTCGTCCCAATTGATTGCAGCGACCATGCTACTCGCGCCGTCTCCCACCCAAGGCCGGTGGTCCATAGGGGTTCCCTTCAACACCATGTTCAGCACCAAATAAGTCAAGGGAAAAGGAAGGCAAGGTGTAATAGAGATACTCCCAACCTTCAAGAGTGCACGCTCGTCCTCGGCCAAGATTGCGCAGTACTCCTCGAGAGTTTCTGAGTCCAACATCTCGAAGACGTGGAACCACACTTGCAACCACCAGTTCTCAGACAGCCGCTCTCGGTCCAAACACTGTGCGCTGTTAGACAGGATTGCATTTACATATGCTCGCATGTTCTTTTTGGAGCGGGCGTGGCTAACAACTGCCGAGCAAAACTCACCGCACATCAACTCCTGGAATGACAGATGCGTCAGTTGTACCTCTGGCTCCGCGTCGATCGCTTCAACTTTTTCCAGGATTGGCATGCGACCCTGCTGGAAAGCATCCTTCAGCACCTCGATCATACTGCAGTCTTCTGAGGCCTGCTCCACAGCTGGCCACGTTGTCGCACGCTGCCTCAACTGGTGCAGATGAAACGACATAGACTGGAAGAGCTGTCGTGCCCTCACGCTCTTCAACATGTCTAGCCGGCGAACCATCGCCTGATCACTGGCTCCATCACGCATAGCGAACTTCGCAGCGTCGGATTGGTGCAACAGGAGCTTCACAGCGCGCTGGTAGATATCGGTCTTCTTCATGGCTTCCTGCTTTGGGCGATCACGCGTCAGGGGACCACTCTTGCCGTCTGCACACGACGATTGAAACTTCCGCAGAACATGGATGAGCAAGGTCAGGATGAGAGGGTTCTCCCTGAGACTGGAATAGCCCGGGTCCGCGACGCTGCTGCGGATAGCGCTGATCGTCTCGTGCGTCTCCTGGGCGCGCGCCAGCGTACGCTGCACGACGTCTTCGGCCTGCGGGAGGGTGAGCGCGCCCATCTGGAACGACACGAAGCCGAGCGCCGCGAGCAGGTCGTACTCCACGGATCCCAGGTTGCCCGGCCTCGACGTAAGGACACAGAGGTGTGACGGCTCGCTCTCCAGGACCGACCGGACATATTCCAGCACCTGGAACCGAGAGGAAGACGCCTCATCCAGTCCGTCGAACAAAAGAAACAGTGCTTTGATGTCCTTCGACTCGCGGGCTGTATCTTGTGCTTCCGTGGGCGCGCGGTGGGCAGCACTCAGGCACCAATTTCGCACCTCGTAGACCAGCTTGTGCGGGATGGAGTCGTGGCCATGCTTTCTCTGCATCCACTCGGACAGCAAATCGCATACCGGGTCTGCCCCCAGCGGCAGGTCCGGGTCGGCCTCGAGCTGCCTGGCCAAGTCGATCAACGGCGTCCGGACGGGGATGAGATTCATGCCGCTGATACTCGTGGTGCCCGCCACGTCCCCTACACGCAGAAGGCACCTCCTATACATCACCACGAAGAACCCAAACTGAACGGCCCTGGAACACACAAACGAAAAGACACAAATAACAGGATTCCGCATATTTTCTCTTCCCCCCAAATTCCCATATTTTCCTCTATGTCCTTGGGAATCGACGGTTAATTGTGTCTGTGTGCTTTTTCCCCTTCTGACGAACCTTCGTGCATAATCCCCGAGATACCGTGAGCAGCACCCGAAGTGGCTGTTCTGGCCCGCCCAGCCCCGGCCACGAGAAAGCCCTCCCGACGCCCCAGATTCGAGGAGCTGCGCTCAGGGACCGCAGCCCCTCCTGAGACCCCCGAATCAGTATCATTTCAGCGTCTTCCCAAAGATCCAACGTATTGGAAAAATCAAGACGGACGTTTTTTCCAATTTTCTGACTTTAGGGGCCCTCGCCGGGCCGCGGGACCGTCAAAAAACGCCTCAGGATCAAAAACCGGTCCCGGGGAATGGGTCGAGACTTCTGGGGACCCCGTATTGAACAAATCACAACGTCGGAGGTCTGGGTTCGCTGTACAGGTGCCCTCTGCGTAGCCTGGCTGGTTGCGGATGCCGAGGAGCTGCTGCTGCGCCACCTCCGAGAAGAGCTGCCTCGTCAAGAGGGTCTTCCCGCTCCCAGAGTCGCCGACCACAAACACCCGACCTTGGAAAGAGCGCGATCTGTCTGCGGTCGCGTGCCAAGGGAGGAGGGGCGGTCAGGACGCCCCTCTCGCCCCCCCGCCACCCCACCCCACCCCCCTTCTCGGTGCAGGGGGGAGGGGGTTGGGGGATGAGGAGAAGAACGAGGAGGAGGAGGAAGAGGACGAGAACGAGGAGGAGGACGACGAGGAGGAGGAGGAGGGGGAGGAGGAGAAGAGGGAGGAGGAGAGGGAGGAGGAGGAGGAGGAGGAGGAGGAGGAGGAGGAAGAGGAGGAGGAGGAGGAGGAGGAGGAGGAGGAGGAGGAGGAGGAGGAGGGGGAGGAGGGGCCCCTCCCCCCTCGTCCCTCGTGCTGGCAGACGTGCGGGGGTAGCGAGCACAGCCACATCGAGGACACACCCCTGGGGGTGGAGATGTCTTTCGCATGCCCACAGGTCGTCAGAACACCGAAACCAGCTCAGTACTGCTTGCGGCCGATATGGGCGACCCCCAAGGCGGCCCCATCGACCGTAACCATTACCAAAATGTTTATCTCGAGGTCGCTCGGTTCTTTCCATAGGGGCCCTCCAGAAAAAATACACTTCATCGTGGTAGTGGCTCTTTTTTGTGCCCGGGAGGCGACGACGACGACGACGACGACGACAACGACGACGACGACTGGTGAGACCTTGGTATCTGTCTTGGGCGAGCACCTCTGGCAGGTACTGCTGGTGCACCAGGCGCAGCTTCTCACAGACGGCCCCCACGCTGCTCGGCAGCTGCAAGAGGCGCGGGAAGAGGCGCGTGCTGAACTTCACGTCTACCTCAGATCGGAGACTGCGAGGCTGGGATCTGTCCCCGCCGCCTGTGGAAATGACGTTGTGAGACCCCAGCGGGGGGTGGATGTGGGCATAATTGGGCCAGCCCTCTGGGGGTCCGAGACTGTCAATACCAACCGCCTGCCAAGGTCCCCGAAGATCTATCCCCCCGGCTGTGGCTTGGATCGTCGGGGGCGCATAATTGAGCGGCGTCCAAGAGGGAGGATGGCAAATCATGGCCCAAAGCAAGTGCGCGGCCAACGGGGGGCCCGAGGACGCCTTAAAACAAGAAGAGGCGCTACGAGATTGGGGAGATAGCATGGCCATGGCCGTGATCTCCCCACCCTGGTCATCACCCCCCGTGTGGCCGCCCCCCGAAATAGAGCCCCGTCTCCGGGAGACGTGCCAACCGGGGACCAGCGCCAACCCGTCCCAGCCAGCGCCCCGTCGCGAGCCCCAATGAAAAAATACCCCCCGAGTACCCCACACAGTTCGAAGAAATGGTCAGAAAATCGTCCCCAGACTATTCTTGACTGTTTCTGAATACTCCTCCTGTAGAGGGACAGGCCCGACTTAAACTTCGGGCCCGCGGGAGGCGAACGCCCTGGATCCACACAACAGTGGCATCCCTTGTCGGCCGCGAAACCAAAAGGGGGACCGGCAGAGGAGGAGGACGACGAGGAGGAGGAGGGGGAAGGAGGAGAAGAGGGAGGAGGAGAGGGAGGAGGAGGAGGAGGAGGAGAAGAGGGAGGAGAGGAGGAAGGAGAGGAGGAGGAGGAGGAGGAGTCGAACCGATCTTGGGAGGGCAACCTTTGCTTCCGCCGGCGTCCGCCGCCCTGCCGGCGCGAGGGGCGGTGCCCTGACGGCGCGGCCCTGACGGCGCGGCCCTCTGCGGATCCGCTCCACGTGGCTCCCAGGCCCGGGCCATGCCCGGAGGGGATTGGCCGAACCCCGCTGTAGTGGACCCCTCCTCCTCCTCCTACTCCTCCTCCTCCTCCTCCTCGTCCTCGTCGTCCTCCTCCTCGTTTTCGTCCTCCTCCTCCTGCTCCTCCTCCAACTCCTCCCCGTCCCCCTCCTCCTCCTCCTCCTCCTCCTCCTCCTCTTCCTCCTCCTCCTCCTCATCCTCCTCCTCCTCCTCCTCCTCCTCCTCCTCCGAATCATCAGCATCATACTCCTCATCAACATCATCATCATCATCATCATCATCATCATCATCATCATCATCATCACCAGTTTCATCATCACGCTCATCATCATTATCAATATCATCGTCATCATCAGCATCAGCATCAGCAGCAGCATCAGCATCAGCATCAGCATCATCATCATCATCATCATCATCATCATCATCATCATCATCGTCATCACCATCATGAGCATCATCATCACCATCATCAGCACCATCATCATCCTCATCCTCATCGTCATCATCATCGTCATATGTTTCATCATCGCCAGCATCGTTATCAGCACCAGCAACACCGTCCTCATCCTCATCCTCATCCTCACCATCCTCCTCATGATCAGCACCATCACCGTAATAGTCAGCATAATCACCACACCAGCAGCATAATCATGATCAACATCATCATCATCATCATCATCATCATCATCATCATCACCACCATCGTCATCATTATCATCATCATCATCACCAGTTTCATCATCACGCTCATCATCATCATCATCATCATCATCATCATCATCATCATCATCAGCAGCAGCATCATCCCCATAATTAGCCATTAGTAGCATTCACATCATCGGCATTATCATCATCATCATCATCATCAGCATCATCATCATCATCACCGTCGTCATCACAATCACCATCACCACCACCACCACCACCATCATCATCATCATCATCATCATCATCATCATCATCACCATCATCATCATCATCATCATCATCATCATCATCTTCATCTTCCTCTTCATCATCATCGTCATCATCATCATCCCTCATCCTTCCTCGTTCCTCTCTACTCCTCCTCCTCCTCCTCCTGCCTCCTCTCTTCTTCCTCCTCCTCATCCTTCTTCCTCCTCCTCCTCCTCATCATCAATATCATCACCAATATCATCACCATCATCACCATCATCATCATCATCATCATCCTCCTCCTCCTCCTCCTCCTCCTCCTCCTCCTCCTCCTCCTCCTCCTCCTCCCCGTCCGCCGTCCTGGTCCTCGTCCTCGTCCTGGTCCTCGTTCCTCCTCCTCCTCCTCCTCCTCCTTCCTTCCTCCTCCCCCACGCCTCCTCCCCCTCCTCCCCCTCCTCCCCCTCCTCCTCTCTCCTCCTCTCCTCTCCTCCTCCTCTCCTCCTCCTCTCCTCCTCCTTCCTCCTCCTCCTCTTCCTCCTCCTCCCCCTCCTCTTCCTCGTCCTCGTCTCCTCCTCCTCCTCCCCCTCCTCTTCCTCGTGTCCTCCTCCTCCTCCTCCTCCTCTCCTCCTCCTCCTCCTCCTTCTCTCCTCCTCCTCCTCCTCCTCCTTTCTCCTCTCCTCCTCCTCCTCCCTCCTCATCATCATCATCCTCCTCCTCGTCTCCTCGTCTCCTCCTCCTCTCTCCTGCTCCTCCTCCTCCTCCTGTTCCTCCTCCTCTGCTACTTCCCGTCCTCCTCCTCCTCATCCTCCTCCCCCTCCTCCTCCTCCTCCTCCTCCTTCTCCTCATCTCTTCTCCTCCTCCTCCTCCCCCTCCCTCCTCCTCCCTCCTGCTCCCTCCTCCCTCCTCCCTCCTCCCTCCTTCCTCATCCCTCCTCCCTCCTCCCTCCTCCCTCATCCTTCCTCCCTCCACCCCCTGCCTCCTCTCTCCTCCCCCTTCCCTCCTCGCTTCTCCTGGCCCATCCTTCGAGCTGCGTCCGGCCGCCACGGACGAGGCAGCTTCCAGAAGCGCCCAGCAGCACCCTGCAGCGCACGTCGCCGTCGCCGTCGTCCCGCTCGCGGGGGGGAGGGATGAGGCGAGGATCGGGGGGATAGATGTACATAGAAAGCGGGAGGACGGATGCAGGAAGGGAGCGTGACAGGACGGGGGGGATGAGGGAAGGAGGGAGGAAGGAGGGAAGGGAAGAGGAAAAAGTAGGAGGGGGAGGAGGACGCCGTCGTCGTCTCTTGGCACCTTGATGCAATGGTCGGCCACGTGGACCTTCCGCAGACGGCATATACATATCATAAGCCACCACCATGCCTGGCCAGGGTCATTCTGGGTTTTGGCATGGTCTGTCCGAGCCCTCCGTGCTGATGCCGCGAGGGTCTACGCACCAGCCTGGGACCCCAGACGGCCCTGGCCCAGCAAGGCAATGGTTGTGCACAAATGCCTCCTGTGGGCACCTTCTCGCGCGTGAGGAAATCGGTAGACCACGCCTCCGCAGTCCCGAT